TCTTTTTCTGTATTTTTTTCTTTTTTTTTTTAATTTATTTTATTTGCTTTCATAAGAAACCCCAAACATCCTACGCGTCTATTCTTTCTGAGCTGAACGATATATTGAACGTATATTAAAAAAGAAAAAATAATATTTATAAAAATAAATAAAAAAAAAAAAAAATAAAAAAAGAGAAAAAAGAATATATAAACCCCCAGAAAATGAAAGAAACACAAGAAATAGAGCCAAAAGAAACAGAAATACAACACCACCATCATCACCACCATCATCACCACCATAAAAAAAAAGAAAATATATATACTGAATATTTATATCTCGGGTGTATACTGAGTGGTATTTATATATTTTTTTTAATGTTTGGTTACTATCAAGAAAAAATATATAATATGAAAGATATATTAACGGGTGAAAAATTTTCATATTCATGTTTTCTAGTTTTAACGGGGTGTATATCCAACGCATTTTTTTCGTTTTTTTTTCTTTTTCTTCAGCATCGTCGGAGCTGTATTTCTTTATTATTTAAAACAAATAAACAAACTATAAAAGATATATTATTTATTTCTCTTTCTTATTCTTTTTCTATGCTATCCACTAACTATGCACTCACACATATTAACTATCCAACACAAATCCTCGTTAAAAGCGCTAAAATGGTTCCCGTCGTTGTCGGTGGTTTCATCTTCTTCGGTAATACAAACCCTAAACCCTAAACCCTAAACCCTGAACCCTAAACCCTAAACCCTAAACCCTAAACCCTAAACCCTCTAAACCCTAAACCCTAAACCCTAAACCCTCTAAACCCTAAACCGTAAGCCCTCTAAACCCTAGACCCGCTAAACCCTAAACCCTCTAAACCCTAAACCCTCTATACCCTAAACCCTAAACCCTCTAAACCCTAAACCCTAAACCTTCTAAACCCTAAACCCTAGGCACGAAACCCTAAACCCTCTAAACCCTAAACCCTAAACGCTAAACCCTCTAAACCCTAAACCCTCTAAACCCTAAACCCTCTAAACCCTAACCCCTCTAAACCCTGAACGCCAGACCCGAGACCCTAAACCTTAAACCATAAACCCTCTAAACCCTAATCCGTGCATCATAGACCCTAAACCCCAAACCCTAAACACTAGCTATCCTAG